GAGAGAGAGAGAGAGAGAGAGAGAGAGAGAGAGAGAGAGAGAGAGAGAAAGAGAGAAATGAGAATTACCAAGACCATACCCAGGGCACAAAATTTAAAAGAACAAAACTTCATCAAAGGTTTATAGAAGACCAAAAGAAACATCTCAAAAAACTTAAAGAGAATAAGCACCTGATAAATGCCCAAGAAAACACAAGCATAAGGCTGGATGAAATGACAAAGACAACCAAGACTGGAAAATCAAAGTTAACATGAAGATGGAATTGAAAAACTCAGTAACACAACTAGAAAACTCAGGGGAAAACCTTGCAAGTAGAAGACAGAATATCATGACCAAAGATAAAGCAGATGAATTAGACCACACAAACAAAACTGAAAAATTTAAAGATATACAAGAGGTACTGGAGAGAGGGCTCAGAGGTTAAGAGCACTGGAGTTCTCTTGCCGAGAACTCAGGTTCCATTCCCAACACCCACATTACTGCTTACAACCTGGAACAAACAGTTCTAGCGCATGTGACAAGCTCTTTTGGCTTCCAAGGACATCAATCATACACATAGTACCCAGACATGTATGCACGCAAACACTCATATACTTAAAAAGACCAAGTATTTAATTATAGGCACAGATGAAGGAGAAGAATCCCAGGTCAATGTCATCGGCCAGATCATCACCATTATAGAAGAAAACCCCAAACCAAGGAAACACACACACACATACAAGAAATGCACAGAATCTTGGAACTACAAAAGATGTCAAATAGCCAAAGAAATCCTGAACAAAACAAAACACAATGCTGGAGGGATTACCATTCCAGATTTTAAGACGTATTAAAAAGCCATAGTAATTAAAAACAGTATGGCACCAGCACAAAAACAGACTTGTAGACCAATGAACCAAAACATAAGACCAGAACATGCGTACACAATTATAGCTATCTGACAACTGACAAAGATGTCAAACGCATACACTAGAGAAAAGATGGCATCTTCAACAAACGGTGTTGAGAAAATTAGATGTTTACATGTAGAATATGGAAATTAGACCTTTATCTGTCATCTTGTACAAAATTAACTCCAAATAGATCAAAGACCTCAATGTGAAAGCTTAAACTGCTAGAAGAAACCAGGCAGAACACTACAAGATATAGGTGTAAGCAAGGACTTTCTTAATAAGGCTTAATTTTTCTAGGAATTAAGGTCAAAAATTGATGAATGGAATCTCATAAAACTAAAAGGCTTTTGTACAAATAAGAAAACTATCAATTGAGTGAAGAGGAATCCCAAAGTGGGACCAAATCTTTGCCAGCTATACAGTTGACAGAGGATTAATATTCAGAATATATAAAGCTAAAAAAACAAATCATGAAAACAAAAGATCTATTCAAAAAATGAGTTATGGTGCCTGGAGAGGTGGCTCAGTGGCTAAAAGCACTGGCAACTCTTTCTGAGGAGCTGGGTTCCATTTCCAGCACCATATTGTGACTCACAACCTACATTTCAAGGGGATTCAACACCCTGTTCTGGCTTTCCTCAGGCACTGTATACACATGGTACAGACATCTATGTAGGCAAAACATCCATACACATAAAATAATATATATTTTTTATGGTTTTGAACAGAGAGTTTTCAAAAGAAGAAATAAAGATTGCTAACATATAGCTCAAATGCTCATCATATTGAGGAATTAGAGAAATGCAAATAGAAACAACACTGAAATTTCATCTTACCCCACTCAGAATGCAAAGATCAACACAACTCCTGACAGTGTATGCTGGGGGGACAGGCGTGAGGAAAGGGAACTCAACCCTCATTCACCGTTGTTGGGATTGCAAACTGATCCTGCTACTCTGGAAATCTGTATAGAAAACCCTCAAGAGAGTAAAAATAAATCTACTATATGACCCAGCTATACCACTCCTCAGAATATGCCCAAAAGACTCAACATCCTACTGCACAGATACTTGCCCCTCTATTCACAATAGCTAGGAAATGGAAACAACCTAAATATCCTTCAACTGATAAATGGATGACAAAAATATGATATCTATATCTATACATACACAATGAGTACTATTCAGCTGTAAAGAACAATGAAGTCATGAAATGTGCAGATATAGAAAACTATAAAAAGATGGCAATTAGTCACTAGGAAAATGCAGGCTACATTAAATGATAAACCACTACCTATCTATTACAATTCCAAATTTGAAAGACTGACCTTACCAAGTGTTAACGAGCATGTGCAGGAATGGAAACTCTGATTGACCACTGACAGGAATGCACAATGGTACAATCACTATAGGGAAACATATGACAGGGTTTTATTTTTCATTGTTTTCTGGGTATAAAATAATGGGTTTCTTTATGACACTTCATGTGCAACACTTTACTTTTCTTACATTTGCCTTTTGTGATACCTATTCTTGGTTGTCAATGTGACCAGATGTGGAATTAACTAAAAATCAAGCAGCTGCATACACCTGGGAAGGATTTTTCTTGATAGAATCTTTTGAAATGGGCAGATCCACCCTAAATTAGGATCTTTTGAGGTGGGGAAACCCACCTTTCCTCTGGACCACACTTTGCGGTAACAGCCTCTCTAAAGCACAATGCAGAAGCAAGCACTTGCTCTTTGCCTGCTTGTCCTCACTCTCCCTGGCAAGTCCACTCCTTCACTGGCATTAGAGCCTACTTCTTCAAGGCTGTAGCGCACACTGAAGAGCAGCCGAGACAACCGGCCTGCTGGACTGAACAACTACTGGATTCTTTGACTTTCCGTTGGGACACAGGCATTGTGAAACAGTCAGGCCATAACCTGTAAGCCACTGTAATAAATCGTGTGTGTGTGTGTGTGTGTGTGTGTGTGTGTGTGTGTGTGTGTGTGTACGTTTTCATTCTATCAGTTCTGTTTCCCTAGAGTACCTTAACCAATAAATTTGGGAGAAGGTTTTTGTTGTTGTTGTATTTTAGGCCAAAAATATTTTAATTGATTAGTATGTGATGAAAACCAAAATCTGACCTACCCTCTGGCCCTGCGAAACTAGAATCCAAGAAAACCCGTTACCGATCTACCTTATACACCTGCCTATGAAAGATTTTTAAGGAAATTTGTCAAATTTCAGTCTTCAGGTCATTAGTTATGGGAACTTAAGTGGTCTAGGCGCCCGGATCTTTCACCTGTAAAATGGGACCTGTTCACTGTAGCTGTCTTTGGGGGATGTCAGAAGGAAGCGCGCATTTTTGCATGTGGTAAACACCTGCATACCGTGATGCAAATCCTCTCCCCAGGCTACCAAGGAAAACCACGGCCCTGTTACCGCGCTGCATCACCAGCAGCAGGGTTGGAGCACACAAAGGCCACCAGGGCCTTCACCCGGGCAGCAGCCTGGTCGTGGGCCCCGAGCGGCCGCGGGAGCTGGAAATCCCGCTCAGACCACACTCACAAACCATGAAAACGAGAAGCCAGCTGTACCTCACACAGCTGCAGCAGCAGAAGGCAGGACTCCGCGCGGGGCTCTCTCCATCCCGTGCAGCCCAGGGCCTTCGAACTGGCGTCTCCAAAGGTGGCAAGATGGCGGCCTCAACATGGCCCCCGCGTGAGGGGCGGCTCCCTCCCAGAAGGCCCTGCGGCCTCTCCATGCCCGCCCTGGCTCGCAGCTGCCGACTCTTCCTCCTAGGCTCGCATCACAGCCTCGCAGGGGCAGAAGGGGAGGCTTCCCGCAGTGTCCACCACAAAGCTCTCTGCAAATATTTGCTGAGGGCGGGATGAAGTCTCATGAGTGGCTGGGTCTATGATGCACTGGAAGCTGCTGCACCCTGGTAGGAAGATTTTCCTTTTTCTTTCTAAGGCAGGCCAGGGGACGGATGAAGACTTGCTTTTGATGAGTTCTATATAATTAAACACTGAATAGTCTGAGTGTACTCCCAAATAACCTCTGGAGAGCTTTCAACCATTAAACATGGGCTGCCATGAATCCTACCAGGTAAAAGGTGTGAGTCAGAATGCATAGCCTGCCTACTGGATTCCGAATGAACACGCCTGGGCCCAAGAGCTTTCAAACGCTAGCTCTACTGTTTACTAGGTTTGCCGTCTTAGGCAAGTTGCCTAACCGCTCCAGGCTTCTGCCAAATGGGGAAAAACAGTTCCTTCTTCATAGCGTTCAGCACCCTGAGTGTTTAATAAATCTTAACCATTATTCTCATTCATAATAAATCCATCCTGAATCAGCTTAGCTTCCTATAAACTGTGGGTGACCCTAGAAAAGACGACTTTTCTCTGACTCATACAACACAATAGATGGAATGACAGCCATTTAAAATAGTCCTTGTATTAGCTGAGAGGATCCGGGTGGGCAAGCCACTCTCAGATAAAGGCTGCCCACTAGGGGAGCTGCCCCGGTTCTACAAATCCCACCCTGGACTCCCTGAATTTGCCAACACCCTCCAACTCCTATGAGGCAAGGTGCTGCTAGATTTCTGTTTGAAATTTGTACATTTAGTCAAGAGAAATGGAAAAATAAGCCCTCACAATGGCTTTTACATGAAATGTTCATAGCAGCTTTGTTCACAGTAATAAAAATATTGCAAACAACCTAATGTTCATAAGCAGCAACCTACAGTTAATTCATAAAATGAATTCTAAGATGTGCATCCCAAAAATACATTCTGAAACAAGCAAGACACGAAGGCCACATACTGTTTGATTCCGTTTATTTATGATGCTAGATAAGACAAACTAATCTACAGTTGCAGAAAGCAGATCTGTGTTTGCTTGTGGTCAGAGCTTGGGGCAGGAATTAATGGGTACAAAGTAGGAGAGCATTTTGAGGCATACTAGAAAGGTGACATCCTGAGTGTGGTAGTGATAAGCTACAAGAAAGGAGTTTTGTTAAAACTCATTAAACTTTTTTAATGAAAATGAGTACATGAAATCACTTGTAAACTATACTTTAATAGAGTTGATTAAAGCCGGGAAGTGGTGGCACACACCTTTAATCCCAGCACTCGGGAAGCAGAAGCAAATGGATCTCTGCAAGTTCAAGGCCAGCCTGGTCTACAGAGCAAATTCCAGGACAGGCTCTAAAGCTACACAGAGAACAGAGAAACCCTGCCTCAAAACAACAACAACAACAAAAATAATAAAGTTGATTTTAAAAAAATTATGGTGAATGTTTATTTTTTCTTATGGTGAATGTTTATAACCCATGTCTTCAATAAAGCAAATTATCCCAGAAAATCTCAGAGTGCGTATGAGGGCTGTCAATAATTTGAAAGGCCTGGAGAGCAGAGAATTGGTTTATTTTATTTGGTAAAGAAAGCTCACCTGTGGGCTGCAGCATCCCCTTATGTCTGAGATTTCTAGTGTACCCTGTATATTACAGACTTCCCTAGCCAGCATCAAAGGCCTTATCCACAAAAGATTAATTTGCAGCAAAAAAGCAATCATTAACTAAATTATGGTAGTTCTTGATATAGGATCATGCAACAACTAAAAATATGCTTACAAAGAGCTTAGCAAAATAGAAAATTTTCATGTTCTAATTTTTAAAATAAAAAAACAGCCTTGGTTCATGATTTTTTTAAAAGTATTCATCTATGAAAATAGGGAAAAAAATTAATCTATCTATGGTGTTAAAAGTTGGGATAGTGCAGGTGTGATGATATGGGCCTTTATTTAATCCCAGTGCCTGAGAGGTAGGTGGATCTCTGTGAGTTCGAGACCAGCCTGGTTTACATTAAAACCTCCAGGTTGGCCAGAGTGACACTGTGAGACCCTGTCATAATAATAATAATAATAATAATAATAATAATAATAATAATAATAAATCAGGGTGGCAGCTCCTCTCAGGGAGAAGAAGTGGTTGGAAGAGACAGCAGGGGTGGATGTGGGAATTCCCAGGTCTTGACGAAGTTTGTTCCTTTGTCAACTCAGGTAAGAGCAGCATGTGTGACTGACCCACAGAGACACAGACTGCTAAAACAGAACCCAGTGGGCTGTGCATTTCTGCCCCCTTGGCAAGCCACCGAATCTGGGTTTAATGGTAGATTTTGTGGATCCCACACAGCACCAATGTGAAATGGAGGCCAGAGAGCTCATGCCTCCCTATACCCACCAACCATAACAACTCTTTTTCTTTCAAGATGGGGTCTCCATGTAGCTCTGGATGGCTTTGAACCCAAGATCTTCCTCCTTCGGCCTTCATGGTGCTGGAATTATAGGCCCAATTCAAATGATTTTTCACAAAGTTCCCCTTCCACATTTCACACTTGCTAGATCTAGTAACATAGGCCAGTCAGTGAGCACTTGCCGGGCCACTGACCCAGAAGCAAGTGCCAGACATTCTGGGTCCCAGACATGCATTAATGTCCTGAATGGCTCCAAGTTCCACTCTAGTGTATCAGGGACATATCAGCTGGTAATTGTGGTCAGTAGAAAGCAGACTCTGAGACACGTCCCAGGCCAGGGAGAGACCCCATCTCAAGTAAAAGGAACAAAACCCGAGGGTGTCCTCCAGCTCCACACATACTCAAGAAAGACGACAAACACCCAGCAGGGTCTAAGAAATGTCAGGCTGAATGCACGAAAGTCCTCTTTGCGGTTGTTTTTGTCCTGGCTGGAGCAGAGGCCAGCAGGGCTCCCTCAATGACTGGGAGAAAGCAGTGACTGCAGTGACTGTAAGTGAAGAGCTGCAGTCATCCTGTCTGGGTTTTTTGCTTTCTCTTTAAACAATGAAGTAGAGTGAAGGTATTTGGACCCCTCCCAGAGAGGAGGCAGAGAGCTGGAGCAGTCAGGGAACATTCCTTTAGTCACCTGAAGAATCTTCCAAACTGTCCCTCAAGTTCCTATGTCAGGCTTGAGTGGGAGACTGTCCCTCCCCAACCTCCGAGGCCTCTCTCTTCCTCCTTTGAGAGGAATGGCTTTTTGTCCTACCTGCCTCAGGCAGGGTGACCAGGTGAAAGGCCACCTCTGAAGTGGTGCTCCTTCTGGGTGGCGGCTTCTTCAGGGCACAGCCTAAAGTTAGGTCCTCTTGGAACAGCCTCTGGTCCAACACACTCAGCACCCCGCAGACGTCCCCTTCACAGCACTCACAGCTTCTGTTTTTTATAAGTTCCCTGTTTGTGTATATTTTACAAATGCAAATCATTCCCATCGTGACTGGCTAGTTTACCAGATTCTGTGCCTTCAGAGAGCAGGGGTAGGGTCTGTTGTAATCATCACTTTCAGGCATCCAACAGATGCTCGTGTGTTGTGTGGACAGTTCATGCCCAGTCTCTGTTGTTCCTCCTCATGCGAACTCGGGTCACCTCCCCACTTTGTGCCTCAGCTTCTCCAGTAACCAAAGACTGGACCTTGGATTCCCTTACCACAGGTGCTCACATGCTGAGCACTAGTGAGAATAGGGCTGGAAAGAGCCAGAAGCAAGGGTAAGTTACTGGTAAGTAACCTGAGAGTGAGTCTCTAACAACAGCCAAAGCCTGGGGGAGTTTTGCGAGTCTTCATCAGGGAGTTCTGTTGAACATGCCTCATTGGCCTCTGACTGGCTGACTTCGCATGTGTTCATGCCACACAGAGTCTCAGAGTCCTACAAGCCAAACTGAAACTTAGCATTTGCCAAGCCGAACAGGTATTCCCATAGGAAATGCACCTGGGAAAAAATCATAATGGCAAGTATGTCCACACCAGGCCCGTGTCGGCAGCTCTACTCCTCACCCTCCATGTCCCTCTCCTACCTAACATTTCTACACGCCAGTGTCATCCCGGCCCCTGGCCTCAGTTATGAAGAAGGTTCTAGAGTCTCTGGACCCAGATCCAGCATATTCAGAGATGAGGACATGGTCTCTGGTCAGCAGAGTCAGAAAGGCAGCTCTGTGTGGCATAGACGAAGAAGATCATTTAAAGAGTCTCATGAATATCTAAACCAAATATTCTTACCCTGGGAACCAGCAATTCTACTTAAGAAAGTATGCTGCAGGTATACTTCCCTTGAAAGTGTGAGGGTGTGTGTTCAAGGACATCCACAGAAACTTTTATAGGGAGAGATGGGAAGGCCTTAATCATCAGCATAAAGATCCATTAACAGTGACGCTCCCAGGTGGTCAGCTGTAGTTTAGTGCAGGTCTAGAAAGGACCAGGCAGGCCTCCATACTAACACATGAGATGGTCAAAGTAGAGAGTCAGCCTGGGTCTCACCAATAGATGAGTAGATAAAGAAAAGATGGGCTGTGAGTACACAGACATACACACAAATACACATAGGCAGGTACACATACAGACATGCAAACACACCCAGACCCCCCCCACACACACACACGCAGGTATATACATTTGCACATACAGACACACACTATGCAGGCATCCATACAGACATTCAGACACACATGCACACACAGGCAGGCATACACACATGCATGTAAATACATACACATGCATGCATGTACAAACATACACACTTGCATACATGCATGCATGCATCAACAATAGAATTTTACTCACAACGGAGCATAAAATCCTGTCACTTGGAACTAAAGGAATAGAACTGGAGAACACTTCACTAAGTGAAATAGGCCAGACACACACACACACACACACACACACACAAAACAAGGACCACACTTTCTCACTTCCATGTGAGACTTACCAGGTCAATGTGACCTTAGGACAGTGATGACCAGGGACTGGGAAGGGTACAGGGCCTGGGAAGAGGGTGGTTGGGTACGATCAGTGCACACTGTGAGCATGGATGAAAATATCACAACAAACCCTACTGGAATGTATAACTAATATGTGTGACTAAAAAGGAGCCTTACAGGGAAAAGCTGGAGGCAGAACAGGGTTGAGATGAGGCCAGGAAAATCTAGTACAGACACAAAGCCTTGCCTCTCATAGGTTGGATTGTCACCTCCACTGTCACCTGGAGACAGAGTCTTTACAGAAGGAACCAAGTTCAAATGAAGGCGTTAAGACGGGCCCTAATGAAGTATGATCAGTCCTTACAGAGAGGGACGTTCCGACGCAGACGTGCACACAGAGACAAAGTCAAATGAAAACAAAATATTGAGGTCAAGGTGATGTTTCTACGAGTCAAGGGCCACCAAAGTCTGACAGCAAAACACCAGAATGTAGTGGAGAGGCCGGAAGCGAGCCTCCCTCACAGGCTGCAGCCTCAAGCCCAGCCTCCAGTCTCTAGAGACCGGCGACAGTAAATTTCCATTGTTGAAGTTCCTGGCACTTCATTATACTAAACCTAGAAAACTAATTTTCTTTCTCTCTCTTTCTCGAGCCCTGTCCTCAGAACTGAGGTGGGAACAGGGCTTCTCACTGTTTAGTTCTTGCTTATATCTTAAGTTTTATTTCCCGTGAGTGTATCCCCTCCGTATCCCTCATGCTTCTGCGTCAGGTAATCAACTGTCTGAGAACACCAATGCCGCCATCTTAGCACCACGGTCCTCAACCTGGAAACAGTCCTCTCCTCCCACTCTGGCCTCAGTGGATGACTAGCTGTTCCTTTCACGGGCCAAGTCTGAGGCTGAGTTGTGAGGGCTCATTGCTGGCATGCTCGGGCTCACGCTTGCCTCGTCAGCCAATCAGGGTGTCTGCAAGCGCAGAAGAGGATGCTCGAGGCCCTGCAGCCTTAGCCCGTCCCGCTGTGGGCTGGAGGTGGGAGTGTGGGTTGCTTTAGAGGTGGAGGGACAGTAGGCACGTTCCATTCATCTTCATGTGGAAGGAAGCCCCACTATTAGTGAGCTCGGCTACTGTCTGAGTCAGGCAGGTTGGCTTGACTCATCTATTATAGGATGACTCATTGCGTGCAAAGGAGCCCTTTTCCCTTTCTGGAGTAAACGGGCAGATGGATAGCCACTGTGTGAGTCACAGGGCCTGGGGCCCAAATAGCTGTGCAGATGGAGAAAAAAATGAGATCCCGCGCAGGAGGTGCCTGCCTCATCAGAATGGGGGCCTGCCCCCTGCGTCTGCCGCACCTGGCAGACACTAGAATTCCCAGAGCCACCACAGCCCCTGAAGCAAAGGAGGCCTGGAGACTCGGCATGGTGGTGGCTGCCACCAGGGCGCTGGCCGCCTTTCAAAGGAGAAATGATCAGGAACTTGGAAGGAAACTCAGTGTGGAAGAAATGAGCTCGAAGACAGTTGAGTGTCAGGGTCAGTCTAACCCTGGTACTAAATATCATGCGAAGATGACCCGGCGTGGGAACGGCTGCCTCAGGTACCAGCATTTTAAGCTCCTGACCGTGTGTTCTTGTCAGTGGCTCCTCTGAAATAGAAGAGTTTCCGAAACCACGGGCAGTTAAGCCCATTCCCTGTTTCCCCTGGCCTGCAAATTCAGAATACATTGGTTTTTCTTCTTCTTCTTCTTCTTCTTCTTCTTCTTCTTCTTCTTCTTCTTCTTCTTCTTCTTCTTCTTCTTCTTCTTCTTCTTCTTCTTCTT